CCTTATTCATGCCCTCCTCCACAAATGGCCCCAAGAAGACTGCTTGTGGAGCCATGTGCTACTAAATGTTAGTAACAGAATCTGGCCCACAGTTAAAAGAATCCCTGCCCCAAAGAACTTCCGATTTAAATAGTCAAGACAAGCCAAAGATGGGGAGAAAGGACATAGTATTATCCCCATTTTGCAGTTGGAAAACTGAGGCTTGGTCTACACTAGAGTTAGGTTGACATAAGGCAGCTTACGTCGACCTAATTATGTCAGTGTACACACTACAGCCTTGCTCCCGCCAATGTAGGTGCCCTACTACATCGACATAATAAATCCACCTCCAGAGAGGCACAGGGCTTATGTTGGTGTAGTTAAGGCAACAGTGTCCGTGTAGACTGTGTACACTGCATTACTTACATGAGCTGTTGGCTGTCATTCTTTTCTATTTCAGGACTCTATGCATGGAGCCATGAACTTGACAAGAGAGCTGTCCCCAGGGCAGGTGGGGGACTCCAGTTAGAGCCTAGTTGACCCTGGGTTCTCTGCTCCAGCTGGGCTGGGCCCAACCCGTTCCGAGCCTGGCTGCTCTCTGGCTTCCAGCCCAGCTGCTGCCTGGAAGTCCAAGTCTGACCCAGAATGGGGCTTCCTTGGCTCCCTGCTGACAACAGGGCTGCTGCCTGGAGGCTCCCCGTGGGGAGTCCTGGTGCTGCACAGATGCTCCTTGCCACCAGGAGCCCTGCTGCACCCCAGGCTCTTGGCTCCATGCCTGGAGTTTGGGTGGCTGAGGGGAGCTGAGAGCCTTGGGGCAGCCAACAGGCTCCCAGTGGGGATCCCAGGCCACAGCCTGGCTGGGAGCAGGGAGCTGGGCAGGCACAGCCCGGTTCAGAGCTGGGAGTGAGCTCAGCGACTGCACTGAGGTTCCCAGGAGCTGCCCGGACCATGGACGTAGACCTTGTAGCTGGGAGCAGAGAGCTGGGGGAGGTCAGCCGACGTCCCAGTAGTGGGGAGCCAAGAGCTGGGGAGCAGTCGGGCTCTGGGCAGGCTCTCAGCTCCCCGCACTGCCCCTCTAAGTCAGCGGAAGCATTCCTCGTGAGGACATGCACCCTCGACAGAAAGAGAGTAGCGTGGACATGAATCACTGCAGTAATTAGTGTGGTGTTGTAAGTTGACCTGAGTTGGAAAGATTAAGTGACCTTCCCATGTCATCCAGCCCCAGGTCTGATTCACACGCTGCAGAAAACCAGTAGCCAACTACGATAGGGCTCCTAATAGTGGTTTAGACAAAGCCTTTGTTTCTCTGCTAATTACATGTTGTCACTGCAGGCGTGGCTGCAGCAGGAAGCAGCACTGCTTTGAGGGGGGTATTGTTGAAGCAGCACAAGTCCTGGGAGGGTATAGCTGTACCCACCACCATGCTTGCTATTGCCATGAAGGCTGGGAATAAGCCGTGGCTCATAAGGGCATGTCACCCCCTGGAGCTGTGTCCACACGTTGAGGCGGGGTCAGGGGACCCCCTGGGAGTGGCTCAAACACCTCTATAAGCTCCGGAGGGGGGGGCCAAGCCAGTGACACGGTACCAAGGTGTGAGTGGACCAGGCCTAGCAGCACCTGCTTTGTGGCCGCAACCTCAAGGGCACCAAGGGACCCACCATCAGCCCCACAGCGCTGCCCCTTCCCGCTGCGTGTTTCCCCACAAACTGAAATTGTGGGGCGGCTAGAAAACCACTAATTTAACAACACTAGTAACTAGTTGACACTGGGGGGACGGGGGAGTTCGGGGGATGGGGGGTAGGGAAATCCCGAGGGGCCTAGGAGACCACGGCCAGGGGGCCCGGTTCAGGCTTGGGGCTCGCTGCCCCGCTCCTCAGGGGAGGCGGCTGCGGCAGGGGGGAGAGCCATGGCGCTTCCGGCAGGCGACGGTGGGGGGGCAGCAGGGAGCGGAACAGGCCCGGCCCGCCGGCCGCGCAGAGCACAGCGGGACCCGAGGCGCGCCCCTGGGCCGGCCAGGGGCAAGGAGCCCTGGGGGGCGGGGCGGGGCGGGGCCCGGCCGGGGGGATCTGTCGCGTTCGCGGCCCAGGGTCCTGTGTCCCAACCCAGAAAGGCAAATAGCCCCCAGAAGCCACTCGGGCCCACGTGTCGGGCAGAAGCGGGACCCACGTGACGACACCGCCCCCTCCTACGAGCCAATCAGCGCACGCGGGCGTTTGCGCTGTTTCGTTCGGAGCTCAACTTTTGGGCCAATCGGCGGCGGGGGCGGGGCTAAGACGACGATGGCGGCAGCGGCAGGGGCGCTGCGGCTCTTGCTGGCTGGGCAGGGTCTGAGGAGGCGGAGACTGTGAGTGACGCTACTGAGCCGTGGGGGAGGGGGCGCTGCGCTCACCCCACGGCCCCCACAAGCCCCGCCCCGCGAGAGCGAGACCCCGGGGCGTGGGCGCCGCCGTGCTGCGCTTACAACCCCCCAACCGCCCCTCCCTAACGGCTCCGGAGTGACAGAGCCACACAGGCTCCGCAGCGCCCGTGACCGGCTCCCCAGGGCCCCCGCCCCTCCCCTCCCCTCACCCCTAGTGCCTCCGCCTAGCCTCCCTCCCTACAGCCCCCCACTCACCCCGAGTGCCTCCGCCTAGCCCCGGCCCCCTACAGCCCCCCACTCACCCCGAGTGCCTCCGCCTAGCCTCCCTCCCTACAGCCCCCACTCACCCCTAGTGCCTCCGCCTAGCCTCCTCCTCTACAGCCCCCCACTCACCCCTAATGCCTCCGCCTAGCCTCCCTCCCTACAGCCCCCCACTCACCCCTAGTGCCTCCGCCTAGTGCCTCCCCTCCCCCCCCCCTACAGCCCCTCCACTCACCCCGAGTGCCTCCGCCTAGCCTCCTCCTCTACAGCCCCCCACTCACCCCTAATGCCTCCACCTAGCCTCCCTCCTTACAGCCCCCCACTCACCCCTAGTGCCTCCGCCTAGCCCCGGCCCCCTACAGCCCCCCACTCACCCCGAGTGCCTCCGCCTAGCCTCCCTCCCTACAGCCCCCACTCACCCCTAGTGCCTCCGCCTAGCCTCCTCCTCTACAGCCCCCCACTCACCCCTAATGCCTCCGCCTAGCCTCCCTCCTTACAGCCCCCCACTCACCCCTAGTGCCTCCGCCTAGTGCCTCCGCCTAGCCCCGGCCCCCTACAGCCCCTCCACTCACCCCGAGTGCCTCCGCCTAGCCTCCTCCTCTACAGCCCCCCACTCACCCCTAATGCCTCCACCTAGCCTCCCTCCTTACAGCCCCCCCACTCACCCCGAGTGCCTCCGCCCCTAGCCTCCGCCTGCCTCCTCCCTACAGCCCCCCACTCACCCCTAATGCCTCCACCTAGCCTCCCTCCTTACAGCCCCCCACTCACCCCTAGTGCCTCCGCCTAGCCCCCGGCCCCCTACAACCCCCCACTCACCCCTAGTACCTCCGCCTAGCCTCCCTCCCTATAGCCGCCCACTCACCCCTAGTGCCTCCGCCCAGCCCCGGCCCCCTACAGCCCCCCCACTCACCCCTAGTGCCTCCGCCTAGCCCCGGCCCCCTACAGCCCCCCACTCACCCCGAGTGCCTCCGCCTAGCCTCCCCCCCACTCACCCCTAGTGCCTCCGCCTAGCCTCCCTCCCTATAGCCGCCCACTCACCCCTAGCGCCTCCGCCTAGCCCTGGCCCCCTACAGCCCCCCACTCACCCCTAGTGCCTCCGCCTAGCCCTGGCCCCCTACAGCCCCTCCACTCACCCCTAGTGCCTCCGCCCAGCCCCGGCCCCCTACAGCCCCCCTTCACCCCTACTGCCTCTGCCGAGCCCCCCCCTACAGCCCTCCACTCACCCCTAGTGCCTCCGCCTAGCCCCGGCCCCCTACAGCCCCCCACTCACCCCTAGTGCCTCCGCCTAGCCTCCCTCCCTACAGCCCCCCACTCACCCCTAGTGCCTCCGCCTAGCCTCCCTCCCTATAGCCGCCCACTCACCCCTAGTGCCTCCGCCTAGCCTCCCTCCCTATAGCCGCCCACTCACCCCTAGTGCCTCCGCCTAGCCCCGGCCCCCTACAGCCCCCCACTCACCCCCTAGTGCCTCCGCCTAGCCCCGGCCCCCCTACAGCCCCCCACTCACCCCGAGTGCCTCCGCCTAGCCTCCCCCCCACTCACCCCTAGTGCCTCCGCCTAGCCTCCCTCCCTATAGCCGCCCACTCACCCCTAGTGCCTCCGCCCAGCCCCGGCCCCCTACAGCCCCCCACTCACCCCTAGTGCCTCCGCCTAGCCCCGGCCCCCTACAGCCCCCCACTCACCCCGAGTGCCTCCGCCTAGCCTCCCTCCCTACAGCCCCCCACTCACCCCTAGTGCCTCCGCCTAGCCCCGGCCCCCTACAGCCGCCCACTCACCCCGAGTGCCTCCGCCTAGCCCCGGCCCCCTACAGCCCCCCACTCACCCCTAGTGCCTCCGCCTAGCCCCGGCCCCCTACAGCCCCCCACTCACCCCTAGTGCCTCCGCCTAGCCCCGGCCCCCTACAGCCCCCCACTCACCCCTAGTACCTCCGCCTAGCCCTGCCCCACTACAGCCCCCCACTCACCCTTAATGCCTCAGCTTAGCCCCGCCCCCTACAGTCCCTCTACTCACCCCTACTGCCTCTGCCGAGCCCCGCCCCCCACTGACCCCGAGTGCCTCTGCATAGCCCCATCCCCAGAGCCTCCTGCCCCCAACCTCTCCTTCCCCCACACTCACCCCAGTGCCCCACATAGCTCCGCCCACTTTGCCCCCACCCAGCCCCGCACTCACGTCCAAAGCCCCCTCTGCCTCCACACAGACCCCCTGACTCCCCTCACAGCCCCCACTGCGTCCCAACCCTCCACACAGCCCTCCAGAGCCCCCTGACCACCTTTGCCTACATACAGCCCCCACTCACTCCCTAAGGCCCCCAGTTCCCGCTCCCTGACTGACCTGACCCCTCCTGCTGCAGGAACACATGTGAGGACTCTCCGCCATTCAGAGCTGCCCTCTCATTCAGGTGACAGTCAGTGACGCCCCCACCTTCAAATTTAGTGTCCCTCCAGGCTCACTTGCAATAGCCCCCACACAGCTTCCTTCTGGCTGCAGCACCTCTGAGGGCGAGGAGCGTGGCTGCTCTGATGTGCTGTGACTGAGATTTGTCAGTTGGTCTGTTTGCAACTTGTAAGTTTGAAAATCCCAGCAGCAAAACTGGTCTCTGCAACTAAAAAGAAAACATGTTTACTAGCTAACCAGGTTTATTTCTCAGTAAGCTGATGGTTGTCACTGAGGCAGTCGCTCCGGGCCCTGCGCTTTGCGCGGCCCCATGCTTCAGGGGGACGTGGGGTCCAGGGCAGCCTGAAAGGTTAGTGGGGGGCCTGGTGTCAGCAGCAGCAAGCGACCTGGCCCCAGCCCGCCCCACTGGCTCTCAGCGTCGCTCAGGGGAGGAAGTGGAAGCCAGAAAGGGGCAGGGGCTTGGGGAAAGAGGATGAATGGGGGCGGATCGGGGGTGGGCTGAAGCTGGGTCACTTGCTCCTGCCGGCGCCAGGCCCCCCACTAACCTCCCAGGCTGCCCTGGATTATAAGATGGACTGGGGTAACTGCCCCCACACTTTGGGGGTCCCACGCTTCAGGGGGATGCAGGGTCCAGAACAGCCTGTGGGTTTAGTGGGGGGCATGGTGCCATCAGCAGTGAGTGACCCATCCCCATCCTGCCCCTGCTCCCATTCCGCCCCTGCTCCCATTCCACCCCTTGCCCCAAGCCCCCACCCTGCCTCTTTCTGGCTTCTGCCCCCTCCCCTGAGTGATGCCGGGAGCCAGTGGGGTGGGCTGGGGCTGGGTTGTTTGCAGCTGCCAGTGCCAGGCCCCCTGCTTATCCCCTAGGCCGCCCTGGACCCTGCATCCCCCTGAAGTGTGGGGCCCACCCAAAGCGCAGTAAGGCCAAATATTAGTGGAGCCAGGCCCACATTCCTAAATATTAGTGGGGCGCGGGCACCATGGGCCCATATAACTTGCTGTCTATGCCGAGTGGTGGGATTGGATTGTGGGGTGGGATGGCAAGTAGTAGCTTCAGAACTTTAGAACTCACCTCCTGCCCCGAAGCGCAATGACACGAAAATGAGAGCTGCTGTAATGGTGGAAAAGTGTGTGGCAATCACTTTGTGAAGCCTGGCAATTCCAGACTGCTACTGGTCAGTCACAAATCAATTTGGAGTTGGAAAGTCCACTTTGGGGTTGCGGTGATGTAAGTGTGTAAGGCCATTAATTTCTTCCTGCTATGAAGGACTGTGACTCAGTCTCTGAGCAATTTGCAGGTAATAATAGATGTCTTTGCGACAATGGGATTCCCTAACTGCAGTGGGGTGATAGATGGCACGCGTATCCCAATTTTGGCCCCAATCTTGCAACGGAGTACATCAACAGATAGGGCTACTTCTCTATGGTATTGCAGGCACTGGTGGATCACTGGGGTCGTTTCACTGACATCAGTGCAGGCTGGCCAGGGAAGGTGCATGATGCAGGCATCTTCAGGAACACGGTCCTGTATAGAAAGCTGCATACAGGAATTTTCTTTCCAGATCAGAAGGGCATAGGCACTGACTCTTAGAGTGCTTTGGGGCTGGAGCAGCCACAGGAAAAAATAGTGGATACTGAGCACCCATCAGCAGCCCCACCAATCAGCTCCTCCCCTCCCCCCACAGTGCTTCCCATCCACTAGCAAGCCCCGTCGATCAGCTCCTCCCCCTCCTTCCCAGCGCCTCCTGCCTGCCGTGATCAGCTGTTCAGCAGTGTACAGGAGGTGCTGAGGGAGAGGGGAGGGGGTATAACAAGGCAGGAAGAGGTCAGGGGGGTGGAGCTTGGGGGAAGGGGTGGAGTGGGGGCTGGGCCTGGGACGGAGCGGGGGTCGAGCACCGCCCATGAACTTACAAAGTCAGTGCCTGTGCAAAAGGGGATGTGGAAATACACATAGTGTTCCTGGGAGACTCAGCCTACCCCTTACAACTGTGACTCATGAAGCCATACAGTAGAAATCTTGCGAGCAGCAAGGAGCGCTTCAACACTGTAGAATGACTGTAGAATGTGTGTTTGGTAAAGGTTTGCTGGTGCTGCCTTTTTGGTAGGTTAGACCTCACTGAGGAAAATATTCTCATCACAGTCACCGACTTTGTGAGTTCCTGAAGCTGCTCAATCCCCATCCCAGGCCCTGCCCACACTCCACCCCTTCCCCCAAGCACCACCCCTGCCCTGCTCCCACCCCGCTTCTTCCCATTTTGTTCTGCCCCCTCCCCTGAGCACGCCCCGCTCCTCCTTCCCCCACCAGTGTCTCCTGTATGCTGCTGAACAGCTGATCATGGCGGGCAGGAGGTGCTGGGAGGGAGGGGGAGGAGCTGATTGGTGGGGCCAGCCAGTGAGTGGGTGGCGCTGCTCCAACCATGGAGCACCCACAGAGTCAGTGCCTATGATTCTCATGGTCACAGCAGCCTGCTGTGCTCTGCATAACATTTGTGAAGCCAAGGTGGAAAACTTTCCCTAGGGTGGAGCATTGAGGTGGATTGCCTGGTGGCTGATTTTGATCAGCTAGACACCAGGGCTATTAGAGGGTCAGGCCTTAGGGGCGTGTGAGAAGGGGGCACCACCCAGGGCACCATGCTCAGGACGGTGCCACTGTGTGCCTCCAGGGTAGGGGGTGCCCCCCATCTCACAGTCTTGCTCCACTGCTGCTCCCTCCTCCCCCTCCATGGAGTTGCCCCTGGCCAACCTGCTCTGGACCGGGAGCCTCCTCCTGTCTGCCATGTAGAGTAGGGGCATGGGGCTCATGTCAGGGTGTTCCCATCCCTTTGCCTGTGTACCCGGTAGCTGCTGAACTGCCCTTAGAGAACAGGGGGATCCTCTCTCCTGTTGCTGCTGGCTCAGGAATGAGTCCTGCAATGTGTTCAGGCTCCTGCATGCTCTGATTAAAGAGACAGCACTCCCCAACATGCACTCAGTCACAAACCAAAACCTGAAATGGCATCCCTGGTGAGCCAGGAGTGCCCAGAGGGCTGGGGGATGGCTATGGGCTCTGGCAAGATGCAGCTCCCATGTGACAGCACGGAGCCCACCTTGAGCTGCAGGCCAAGTGCCAGGCACAACAAGCTGCAGCAGCACAGAAGTAAGTAGGTAACATCCAAAAATATTTAATTTCTGTTATTGTTTAACGGTGTGATTAAAACGGCAATTCATCGTGATTCTTTTTTTAATCTCGTTTGACAGCCATATATCAGTATTAAACCCATTACAGTTTTAGTTTTTATTTGTAGAACCCTAAATTAATTTACAACTCTACTGCCTTTATGTAACCACAATTTGAATATGTAACTAAAAATGTGTAATGTGGAATGCATTAATGAAACAATTTTTAAAATAGATAATGCCTTAAACTGGGACTAACGAGTTTTTCCCAGGGTCATAAAAACCTTTATAAATTCCATGCTATCCCTGTCCTAAATCACTACCAATCTGCAATGGATCAAAGAGGGGACCTAGAAGTGAAAGGTCCTGTATCCCATCCCCTGGGCCATCCAGTCCCAGGGTTTTGGGACCAGGCTGAAAACAGACCTTTAATTTATGCCTTGCCTTTATGGAGCAGGGCTGAACAGATTAATCAGATATTTGAATGGATTTGAGGGATGGTTAGCCTTCTCAAAAGCCTTCTAAATGAGCTGTAGACATATTTTCTCAAACACCTAACAGAAAAGGCCCTCACATAGTAGGATAGTTAATTTTAATATTTTTTACAGACCTTGCTTTAGCAAACCTTGGAACAGCACTTATGGAAGGCAAGCAGAGTTTTAGCACCAGAGTGGGAGAGGTAGTCAAGGGTCAATTGACTTTAATAATTAAAATTAAAAATACTTGCAGTTCTGTCTGAGAGCATAATGCAGTAAATATTTTAAAGTTTATTAATGAAAGAATGTGCAATACAAAAGTAATTGAAACCTAGAAGGTTATATGAATGCACAACAGGGACTCTGGTGCTATTATGGTAACTACAAGAGCAAAACTAGAGTGGTTTGTGCTGCACAAGAGAGAAATGCTATGAACTGACACAGCCAAAATTAATCCCTTGTAGTTTAAGTAGCATTGTCCTAAAGAAAACCCAGGAGGACGCTTTCTATACTGATCCAGTAACCGTGACTTTTTCAACTTCTACTCCCTGTTTCAGAGAGGGCAATAAAACACTTTTAGTGTGCAGAACTGTAAATGCCAAGACTTCGAACAGCCAAACATGAAGGGTTTGAGTATTTATACTGTACAATGAAGGGGTCAAAAGTCCACTTGGAGGCTGTAAGTTTATAAGCATGAACCAATTGATGAAAGAAGTCTGTAATATTTGTAGGCCAATAGCAATACTACCATGGGCAGGCCAGGAGTTGCTCTTGCCTTTATCAGCCTCTTCCTACCCCTGCATCTGGGCAATGAGGCTCCCTCCCTTGACTCCCTCAGCCAGGAGACCAGTGACCAGACTTATTCAGTCCCTAAACCAGCACTAAAGTTTTGTTTAAGCTAGCAGCAGTAATGCTAATAAATAACATACAAGTCCCTGAAAGGGACACAACAGCAGCTCTGGGAGTTTCTTATTTACTCCATCACTACTTTCCTGTCTCTGTTTACACTAGGGTTTTAACATAATGTTCTTTTGGAAAGGAATCCTCCTTCCTATCTATATTGTGCCCTGTACTTTTTTCATTCTTGCCTCAGCTGATTGCTGGGTGCTTCCTTTCAGCAAGGTGCATATAAATGGTCAGTCTCTCCTAGCCAGCAGTGACTCCCTCCAGCATCCTCTCTCTAGAGCTGCCTGTTTCTAGGGCAAAGACTATTCACTGCTAGATGAACTGCATGGCATAGCAACTGCTGGGAATGGCAGAAAAATTGAATTGAGCCTTGCATGGAGAGGGCTTAATCCAAGGGGAGTCAAGAGCTAGAAGGAAAGACCCTTTTAGTGGGGCTAGAGGTGAAGAGGTCTTCTAAGTCATTGTTGCTGAGATGAGCATAGGTAGAGTTAATGGACCTGATTCAGCTTGCTAGATGCCCCTCCTATTGCTGAGCTGAAAGGGTGGTTTTGCTAAACTTGAGAGACAAATGTTGAGCCCAGACTGCTCCCCAAGATCTGAATCAGTACAGTTGACTGATGTGGAGGAGCA